TATTCAAAAATTCTTGCTCAAGCCAATGTCATGAAGTGTTTACCCTATGTTTTCTTCTAGTTTTCATAGTTCCAGGTCTTATATTTAAGTCATTAATCCACTTTGAGTTGATTTTTGTAAGTGGTGAGAGGTAGGGGTCTAGTTTCATTCTTTTGCATATGAGTATTCAGTTTCCCCAGCACTATTTATTGAAGACACTGTCCTTTCTTCAATGTGTGTTCCTAGCAACTCTGTCAAAAATCAGTTGCCTGTAAGTGTGTGGATTTATTTCTGGGTTTCTCTATTCTGTTCCATTGGTCTATGTGTCTGTTTTTATGCTAGGATCATGCTGTTTGGGTTACTGGTGCTTTGTAACATATTTTAAAGCCAGGTAGTGTGATACCTCCAGCTTTATTCTTTTTGCTCAAGATTTTTTTGGTGATTTGGGGTAATTTGTGGTTCCATATGAATTTTAGGATTGCTTTTTCTATTTCTGTGAAAAATGTCATTAGTATTTTGATTGGGATTGCATTAAATCTGTTGATCAGTTTGGCTAGTATGGACATTTTAACAATATTAATTCTTCCAATCCATGAAAATATTTATTAGTATGCTCTTCGATAGCTTTCATCAATGTTTTACAGTTTTCATTGTAGAGATCTTTCATCTTCTTGGTTAAATTTATTCCTAGGTTTTTTGGTAGCTATTGTAAATGGGATTATTTTCTTGATTTCTTTTTCAGATAGTTTGCTGTTGGAGTTTAGAAATGCTACTGATTTTTGTATGTTGACTTTGTATCCTGCAACTTTACTGAATTTGTTTATTCTAACAGTTTCTTGGTGGAGTCTGTAGGGTTTTCTATACATAAGATCATGTCTGCAAACAGGGACAATCTGACTTCTTCCTTTCCAAGTTGGATGCCCTTTACTTCTTCCTTTTGCCTAACTGGTCTGGCTAGGATTTCCAGTACTATGTTGAATAGAAGTGGTGAAGGGCATCCTTGTCTTGTGCTAGATTTTAGAGTAAAAGCTTTCAACATTTCTCTGTTCAGTATGACAGTAGCTGCGGGTTTGTCGACTATGGCCTTCATGTGTTAAGGTATGTTCCTTCTATACCTAATTTGTTTAGAGCTTTTATCATGAAGCGATGTTAAATTTTATTGAATGCTTTTTCTGCATGTAGTGAGATGATCATATGGTTTTTATCCTTCATTCTGTTAATGTAATGTATCATGTTTATTGATTTGTGTATGTTGAACCATCTTTGCATTCCTGCGATGAATCCCACTTGATCGTGGTGAAGAACTCTTTGATGTGCTGTTGGATTTGGTTTGCTAATATTTTGTTAAGAGTTTTTACATCTGGCCGGGCGCGGTGGCTCACGCCTGTAATCCTAGCACTCTGGGAGGCTGAGGCGGGTGGATCGCTCAAGATCAGGTGTTCGAGACCAGCCCGAGCAAGAGCAAGACCTCGTCTCTACTAAAAAATAGAAAGAAATGATCTGGACAACTAAAAAAAATATATATATATATAAAAAATTAGCCAGGCATGGTGGTGCATGCCTGTAGTACCAGCTACTTGGGAGGCTGAGGCAGAAGGATTGTTTGAGCCCAGGAGTTTGAGGTTGCTGTGAGCTAGGCTGACGCCATGGCACTCTAGCCCGGGCAACAGAGCAAGACTCTGTTTCAAAAAAAAAAGAAGTTTTACATCTATGTTCATCAGGGATATTGACCTGTAGTTTTGGTTTTTTTGTTGTGTCTTTGTCTGGTTTTGGTATCGGTGTAATGCTGGCCTCATAAAATGAGTTTTGAAGAATTCCTTCCACTTCAATTTTTGGAATAGTTTGAGAAGAATTGGTATTAGTTCTTTAAATGTTTGATGGAATTTAGCAGCAAATCCATCAGGTCCTGGGCTGTTTATTACTGGTTCAATCTCATTACTTGTTATTGGTCTGTTCAGGTTTTCTATTTCTTCGTGATTCAATATTGGTAGGTTGCATATGTCCAGGAATTTATGCATTTCTTCTAAGCTTTCCTATTTGTTGATGTATAGTTGTTCATAATAGTCTCTAATGATCCTTTGTATCTCCGTAGTATTGGCTCTGATGTCTCCTTTTTCATTTCTGATTTTATTTATTTGAGTCATCTCTCCGTTTTTCTTAGTCTAGCTAAAGGTTTGTTGATTTTATCTTTTCAAAAAACCAACTCTTTGTTTTGTTGATATTTTGTATTTTTTTAGTCTTTCTTTCTTTCTTTTTTTTTTTTTTTTTGAGACAGATTCTCACTCTGTTGCCTGGAGTCAGCCTAGCTCACAGCAACCTCAAACTCCTGGGCTCGAGCAATCCTACTGCCTCAGCCTCCCGAGCGGCTGGGACTACAGACATGCGCCACCATGCCTGGCTAATTTTTTCTATATAAATTTTTAGTTGTCCAAATAATTTCTTTCTGTTTTTAGTAGAGACGGGGTCTCGCTCTTGCTCGGGCTGGTCTCGAACTCCTGACCTTGAGCTATCCACCCGCCTCGGCCTCCCAGAGTGCTAGGATTACAGGTGTGAGCCACCGCGCTCGGCCTTTATTTCTTTTATTTCTGTTCTGATCTTCATTATTTTGCCTTCTACTAATTTTGGGTTTAGTTTGTTCTTATTTTTCTAGTTCCTTGAGTGCAATGTTAGGATGTTTATTCAAGATCTTTCTGGGAGGAGGGGGAGAGGGGAGGAGGGGACGGATACACGCATACACAAAGAGTGAGATGCGCACGGTCTGGGGGATGGACACGCTTGAAGCTCGGGCTTGGGGAGGGAGAGGGGGAAAGGGCAACATACGTAACCTAAACGTCTGTACCCCCATAATATGCTGAAATAAAAAAAAAAGAGCTTTCTATTTTTTTGATGTGGACATTTATTGCTATAAACTTCCCCCTTAGAATTGCTTTTGGTGTATCCCATAGATTTTGGTATGTTGTATTTCCATTTTCATTTGTCTCAAGAAATTTTTAAATTTCCTTTTTAATTTCTTCATTGACCCATTGGTTGTTCAGAAGCATGTTGTTTAATGGTGTTCTCTGAGCTTACTGTGTTTTGGAGTCTGACCTTAATTTCAAAACTTAGTAAATTCTCACTTATTATTGTTTCAAATATTTCTTCTGTTCCTTTCTTTCTATTCCTTCTGGTATTGCCATTACTCGTAAGTCATGTCTTTTGCAGCTGTCCCACCGTTCTTGGATATAACGTTCTGGTTTTGTATTTTGACTTAAGCTTTTCAGTTTTGGAGGTTTCTATTGATATATCCTTAAGCTCAGAGATCCTTTCTTTAGCCATGATAATGAAAGTCTACTAATAAGCCCATCAAAGACATTCTTCATATTTATTACAGTGTTTTTGATCTCTAACATTTCTTTTTGGTTCTTTCTTAGCATTTTCACCTGCTTACATTGCCTATCTCTTCTTGCATGCTGTCTACTTTATCCATTAGAGCCCTCAGTGTATCAAGCATGGTTGTTTTAAAGTCTATTGTCTGATAATTCCAACATCCCTGCCATGTTTAGTTATGATGCTTGCTCTGTCTCTTCAAACTGTATTTTTTTTTTGCCTTTTAATATGCTTATAATTTCTTCTTGATAGTTGGACATGATGTACTGGGCTAAAGAAACTGCTGTTAAGTAAGCCTTTAGTAATGTGGCAGTAAGGAATGGGGAGAGGGGAAGCATTTTATAGTTCTATGATAAGATCTTGGTATTTTAGTTAACCTATGCCTCTGGACTGTGAACTTCACAAGTGCTTCTCAGTATCCCCTCCACCCCCTTAAGTGGGACAGGATAGTTAGTGTGGGCTGGAGTTGAGTATTTTTCTTCTGCTACATGGAAGGGTACAGCTAGCTGGAGTTTGGCATTTCCCTTCCCCCAGGTTGGTTAGGCTCTGATAAAACCCCAGCAGCTTAGACTCTGTTTAACTAGTTTCTCCTGAGGGCAGAACTTGTTAAGAACAGAACACTCTGGTACATTTCAAATGGTTCCTTTTTCCCTCCCTGTCAGAGGTATGAGGGAAGTTTTCCCTGTTATTTACTGTGAGGACCCACTTGAGTTCCTGGTAGTAAAATTCACAAAAGTGGTGGGGGCCCTCCTATGACTATATCTTCCTGGAGTTTTTAACTCTCAAACTTGTCCACACCTGGCCTCCAACAATTTGTCAATTACAGTATAGGTTTTCCTACTCCAGTACTGGGTCCCCTGGAAGTTTCTGCTCCAGTATCTCTTGTGATTCTTTGTATCTGTCTGATGTCTAAGTTTGGAGGCAGCAGTTTGCCCTACGATCTAACTTCTCTTAGGGATCTAAAAAGAGTTGTTCATTTTTTAGTTGGTTCAGCTTTTGATTAGTTGTTGGAATGGAATGGTGACTTTCAAACTCTTTATATGCAGAGCTGGAAACCAGAAATCTCACACAATTACTTTTTAAGTCATCTGTTTGATCCCTGAGGTTATAAGAACTGAAGCTGTTTTAACTCACACTCAATCATATACCTAGTGTAATATACAGCCATGATTTATTTATATTTTTAAGATTGTCTCAATCTGGCACCAGAATAGTAGCAATTTTTACATTTGTTAATCCTAAGAAGATTTACTCAATTTGGTGCCAAGATTTGATTAAGAACAATAATAAATTCCCAAGTGTACCTAGGTAAGTATAATACTAATCTAGTCAGTTCAACGTGTGCTTTACAAGTTCCAAAAATCTAGAGGCAGATGGCACATTCAGATTTTATTTTGATTTCAGTTTTTCCTTATAATTTACTTTAGTCTATATTTTTAGAGCTCCTCTTTGTGCCTATGTCTATATTAAGAATTGTACAGATTATAGGGAAAAAAGAAACATGTCCGTTGCCTGCAGGGAGCTGAAAATCTAGCCTCGAAAATTACATTCAATATGTATGAAACAGAGAACAAGTAAGGATGATAAATAATGAAGCACCTAGACTGCCTGAAATGAGAAGATGGCTTGGAGTCCTAAAGGCTAGCATCTCTTACCTCCAGGGAAGTGTAGGTCAGAGCTGCACCTGTGGTCACATGTCTGCTGTATTGTTTGAACTGCTGGAGCCCATCCACTACTGCCAGCTTCAGAGAAGTGCCTTGTGGTCTGAAACAACCTTCTCTCTGTAACACGCGGAGCTCTGAGATGCAGGCCTGCAATCTAGCAAAGTTCCCTTTTACTTGCTGCAGAGAAAAATGAATCAGAAATACAAATTTTTAGGGACCTAGGTTTCAGATTAATTGCAGTCTAAATTTATTATCAATAACTCCTCAGGAGTTTCTTCCCTTCCTGAAAATTTGTTTATTTGATCAATACCTACTGAGTGCCTATTGTGTTCTAGGCATTGCACTAAAAATATTCCCTACAACAGAGGAAGGAAAATTTTGATTATGTAGGGTTACCAGAAACAGGAAAGGAGGCATTTTAACTCATTCATTCACACAAAGGAAGGTCGGGTTGTGACTACTTAGTTTTACTTTGGGGTGAACTGTAAACTGGAGGCCAAATAGGGTTAACCTCAGACATTATCTTCATTTCTCAGTCAGTTTAGGCACCCAGAACTTTTCTATTTAAGAATGGCGTTTTCCCGGAAATGTTGATATGGTTGGTCATTTCAGAATGGATAAGGTCCTACCTAATCCACTCCTCAGGATAACTTCAATAAAGAAGAGCTACTTGGCTTAGTTTGCAGTCAGCTTAAGGAGACAACATGTAAACCCCAGACAAGTGACCTCTTGGTTCTCCTCACCCTCCTTTATAAAAACTTGCTCTTAGGACGTGATCTAATTTAATCTGAGTCCAGGTCAATGTTACCTCTCCTAAGGATATGTGCATTTTGATAAATGTGGACTGAAGATTTGTGACGTTATTTGAAGGAATTCCATGCATCACTAGCAGGTAGGGGGAGGGAAAAAACTATATTTTGGGATGGGGATGTGGGGGCTGGGCCTAGAAGAAAGGATGGATGGATGGAAAGAATGTGAGCAGGTGAATGAAGGGACAGGTGAAAATGCCTGCCTGAAGCTGCTTCTTTGCTGTGTGCAAAAGTCAGCTGAAAACAGCTGACCTGTATGGAAGTTGTTAAAGAAATTAGCAAACGGCCCTGACCTTTTGCACGTGTCCTTGGAAATAAATATGGGGAGGAACTTAACTGAGGAGGCCATTTTCTCCTTCAGACTTTGGCCTCTTCCCTTCTCTCTAAACACTATATGTTTTGAGTAATTATTCCTTCCCTACCGAGCTCAGGAGTGAAAAGCTACTGCTACGTGGGGACACCTTCCTGACTAAAGAGCAGAATTGAGCAATGTCTGCAATGCACGTAAAATCTATGAGCATGTGCTACAATACTGCCAGAGAACAAAGACTGCTTAAGTCAACTCATGCCTTGCCTAGCTCCACAGCTGCTTACTTTGCTTACTATGCTTTTCTGCCCAGGTCTCTGGGGGAAAACACAAAAAATTGGACATAATTCTTACTCAAAGAGAACTTGCAATCTAGGTAAGAAAATAAGAAAACTACTCAAAGAAATGAGAACAAATCATACTATAGGTGTAGCCTAGTAGGGTTCAAGCATTTCTTCTCAGGTATTCCCTAAAAGAATCTAAAAAACAATGTACCTCTTTATATCTTTTAAAGTCAACATCTAGATTTTGTAATTCCAAGTGCAAGTAGTTGCTAAGGATGTAACTTGCAGCATATTTTAAATATCAAGATTTAAAAATAAAACTGTAACATCACTCTTCAAAACATAATCCAGTGGAATCTAAATACATTATGATTTCATACTTACCATTATTCAATTTAAAAAGTACATGATTCCTAGGTACTTTATTTTCTTTGTTGCTATTGTGAAGGGGATTGAATCTTTGATTTGGTTCTCGGTATGACTGCTATTGGCGTATATGAAAGCCTCTGATTTGTGTGTATTGATTTTGTAT